TTTATTTCTGCCACTCGCCGTTGCAAAGAGGGAACATCGTTCCCAGGGAAAGAACTGCAGATAAAAATGGTCGCCCGTGCTTTTTGTTTTCCTAGCGGGGAAAAAAATATTAAGAGATCCCTGGTAGCTCCGTTTTGTAACCCTGGTTTGTTTTCCACGATTGCTTTGAGCAATCTAAACAGAGGCTCCTTCACAGCACGAAGCCCCCCAAATGTCGGATTTCTCTCACCGAATACAACCTGCTGGACTTTCAGCCGTTCGTTTAGTGACCATTTAAAGTTACAGCGGCACTGGAAAAAAGGGACCTACGACCTGTTTTTCACACTTGAGGACCGCTGCTGTGACGTGATCAAAATTCGTAACGCTTGGCCACTGACTCATATTTACGATGGTTGCAGTGTCCGGGTGTCACGGGATCATCTTTTTCTAGAGGCAGTCCTCAATTTACAACCAAATTTTCTGCGGCTAAGCGAGACAGTAGCTAAAGTGAGGTTTGCTCCATTTTACGACCTTTCTTGCCACTGTCCTTAAGTGAATCACTGCCCTTGTTAAGTCAGTAACCACAGTTGTTAAGTGAATCTGGCTTCCCCCCATGGACTTGGCTGGTCAGACGGTCGCAAAAGGGGATCGCGTGACCCCCCCCCAGGACATTGCAACCGTCATAAATATGAGTCAGTGTTTTTTTTTCCCTTATATCCTCCGAATGTAAATTGCATAACCACATGGGGATGCTGCAAAGGTCGTAGGGGTGGAAAACGGTTGTAAGTCGCTTTTTTTCAGTGCCGCTGTAAGTTTGAACAGTCACTAAATGGGACTGTTATAAATTCGAGGACTCCCTATACCAGCGGTAGGCAACCTTGGCTCTTTTTTGACTCGTGGACTTCAACTCCCAGAATTCCTGAGCCAGCCTGGCTCAGCTTGGAAACCTCCCTTTCCCCTCAGCATGGCTGGCTCAGGAATTCTGGGAGTTGAAGTCCCCGAGTCATAAAAGAGCCAAGGTTGCCTACCCCTGGCCGAGGCCTAGGCCTCTTTATGACTCGTGGACTTCAACTCCCAGAATTCCTGAGCCAGCATGGCTCAGTTTGGAAACCTCTCCCTTTCCCCTCAGTATGGCTGGCTCAGGAATTCTGGGAGTTGAAGTCCACGTCATAAAAAGGCCACAGATCCCCATGCTGGCTCAGGAATTCTAGGAGTTGAAGTCCACGAGTCATAAAGCGACCTAGGCCCTAGGCCAGGGGTAGGCAACCTTGGCTCTTTTATGACTCATGGACTTCAACTCCCAGAATTCCTGAGCCAGCCTGGCTCAGCTTGGAAATCTCTCCCTTTCCCCTCAGCATGGCTGGCTGAGGAATTCTGGGAGTTGAAGTCCATGAGTCATGAAGGGGCCAAAGTTTTCCCCATGCTGGCTGAGGAATTCTGGGAGTTGATGTCCAAAAGTCATGAAGGGACCAAAGTTTCCCCATGCTGGCTCAGGAATTCTGGGAGTTGAAGTCCACGAGTCATAAAAGAGCCAAGGTTGCCTACCCCTGCCCTATACTTTTGTATTAGGCTTCTGCATTTTTTTTTCCTATCAGTATTTTATCTCTTGCATTTGGGGTTTATTTTTATTTTTTGTTTTTAACGCTTCACCTCCTCCCTAATAAAATCATTGGAAAAGGAAACCGCGATAACGAACGCCGATTGCAGATTTTTTAGGAGACGCTTTTCGCTTCCTTGTTCCAGACTCTAACCTCAATTCCGGCACCCAAAAGGACATCGAGTTGTATTGTGTGTGTGTGTGAAATGAGGACAAGAGAGTGCATGATGGGTATGTGGCGGGGGGGGGAGTGCAGGGGGGGGGGTGGACCGTGCAGGATCAGCCACTGGAAGGCTTGCCAGACCCTCCGGAACGGGTGGGGGGGGGACCGACCTTCATGAGAGCCTGTTGCTTTAATGATTGTGTTTTTTTTAATGGCTGAGATAATTGTCTATTTTTATACCTGGAAAATTGCTTCCTTGCCAGGATCCCACGTGCCGACACCGCCTGTGCGGGGAAGGAGCGATGCCAGGCCAGGAGAAAACGGGCACAAAAGAGGGGAGACAATCAAGCTCTTATATTGTACCCGGGACTCGGGGTGGGTGGACTCGCCGGCGCCAAGGCCTCTTTGCTGCATCTGAGCATGTCTAAAGTGCGTCAGAGGGGGTGGGTGGGCAGCTCAGGGTGGTGGTAAAGCTTCGTGGGGTGGGGCGAGGCGATCGAGCTACCAGGGGATCCTCAACTTACCACCCCAATACTGCAACCGTCATAAATAGGAGTCGGTTGTCAAGTGTTGGAATTTTGGTCACGTAACTGTAGGGAATGCGGCCATGGTCGTACGTGTGGGAAAACGGTCATAAGTCACTTCAGACGGTCACTAAACGATTGGTTATAAGCCAAGGACTCCCCGTATCTGGCATTGGACGTCTCTGGGCCTTGGCTAGGGCAAAGGGAACAAAATGGATGCAGGTTATGTTCCTTAAT